CCGAACGCAAAGTCACGCTGCAGGAAACCAGCGCAGCGTTCAGCCGGGGGGAATGAGGCTCACCCAGCTCTGCGCCCCGGAGCGCGCGCCACCCGCGAAGAGTGGACCGGGCGGCAGCAGAGGAGACTGCAGAGACGGCCAAGAGCGCCGGCGCAGCACCCTCTGAGCCCGAGGTCCCCCAGCACATCCGCCCGGACGGTCCCAGATCCGGGAAGCCACAAGTGGGGGTCGAATCAAGGAGGTCGCTCGGATGGGATGCGCTGTGCCTCCCTTACCCTGTTTCCCGAAGATTCCCATCAACTTGGCGATCCGTTGTCCCATGGTGCGTCCCGGGCCTGGCAGGGGCAGGACTCGGCGATCTTCTGGGGGGCGCGGGTGGAGCCCGGGTGCTTGGAGCCCCTCCCACTGGGGAGGGCTGGCGGACTTCGCCTAAAAGGTCATCCAAGCCCCACGAGTCACCTGCGGGGCCTGAGAATCCCTTGGGACACTGGCCCCCTCGCGGGCGCGATGGACGTCACCGTGAAGAAGAGCTGCCTGTTCAGAGCTCTGGAGGTGCAAGGAAAGTGGGGTCTGGACTCCACAGCCTACCCCTGCCCTGAGAAACACCAGAGTTGCCCCATTGCAAATCGGGGAGACTAGACAACAGTGGCCTTAACTGGATCCCAACTCTCCCTTCTCCAAGTGCCATGTCTAGGCTGAAGCTAAACTCTAAGCCACCCTCCTTCTGGTGAGCTGCGTGAGGCAGAAGAGCTTACTGATCCTCTCTGTGCCAAAAGAATATTCCAACCCTCAACAGATCTCTAGTCGTTTCACTAGTGTGGTGGGTTTTGTAGGCGCACTCAAAATGAGTTCCCTTGAGGAAGAGCAGGGTCTCCCCTCCTTTTGCAGGTCCCTTGGTGCTGAGCAACTTCAGGAATAAATCAGTGCTGCTTCTACCATTAACAAACCAACTGCTCAGGCACAACTCCCTCTTCCCTGAGTGTGAGCATCTGAACATAGGGATAGAGCAAAAAGAGAGATCTCCCACCCCTACAGAGGGGTCCGTATGGAAAAAGTCAGCAGAGGAGAATCTGGACCAGGCGACAGCCAGGCTGGAGGAGGGAGAGGAAGAGGGAGCCTCCTGTTGTGAATTTCCTTCTTTGCTTAAACTGGGAAAACCCAGAAAACAAAAAGAGAAACAGAGAAGGGAAACCAACCTCAGGCTGAGGGGGCAGTTAGTAAGAGAGAATGGGCACCTTCCACCCCCTTGCCACCACCCTCCGACAGCCCGTTAGTGCCCCCCTCCACTAGGGAATAGCCCTTTAACTAGTCTCCCTGTCTTTGCCTCCCTCTTGGACAAGGCATTCTCCTTGTCCATCCAAAAGCCCCTTTAACCATCCAAAAGCACAGCTCAGAGCCTGTTACTCCACAGCTCATAAACCTTCAATGGTTCCCCGCTGCCCACTGGATTCAGAACAGTGTCCTCACCTGACACTCAAGGCCCTCCATGAAGAGCCCCACCTGCCTTTGCAGGTTCTCATCTGCCATGTTCTGCATCCACTGGTCTTTGCCCACGCACGCCTGGCTCTTTCTTATTGGGCTTTTGCTTCTGCATTTCCTCCTCCTGAATGCCTTTCAGCTTCTCAGAAAGATGGTTCCTGGGACCTTTTACCTGCCTCCATAAAAGTCATCTACTTCCCAAACCTTATCCTGGTTATTAAGTAAATGGGGCTTCTCTTTACACTGAGACTGTATAGCCTGGCATGCCTGTTTCCTCCATTCAATGGTGAGTCCTAGAGGGCAGGCTCCTGTCTTGCTGTGTGCCCCCTACTCCCTGTGTGCCCCCTACTCCCTGCTGCCTGGTCCAGTGCCCCACATGTAGTAGAAAAGTGTTAACTATTGGATGATGTATGGTGAGTTAAGCTCTAGCCTGAGAAATGGTGCTTGAAGTATTAAAAAGGGAGTGTGAGCATGAATTGAAGAGGACTGAGAAAGTATGGGAAGAAAAGAGGGAGAACGGTTCACTAAATACAGAATTTTCATCCCACCCACCTTGGTGCCCAGGGAGAGAGAGAGTTGACTACCCATTTCGGCCCTGGGAAAGAAGGAACTGGGGATTTGGCAGGGTGCAGTAGGGTGGGGACACAGAAGGGTGCTGGAAGAAGCAGTAATGTTTTCAACATTGTTACCATCTGTTTCCTGGGGGGGATGGAACATCTTAGTGCATCCTGCCCCCCACCCCATCACCAAGTGCAGAATGAAAGTGAGGTTCTGCTGGCTGGAGCACTTCTAGTAAACAGCCAAGAGCCACCTCTGCTGTGAGGCCCAGAATCTGAATATTAGGGGGTTTTCATTCATTTATTCATTCATTTGACAAATATGATTCAGAAGGTAGAAAACATGCCATGTGGACAAAACAAACCCAGTCCGACTCTTATGGAGTTTCCCCATCTAGTTGGCGAGACAAATACATGCAGCAAAACAAACAAACAAACAAAAACCCCTGAGAGACAAGAGGTTGGAAAGGCTTGATTCAGCAGGGAGACAAGGCACACCTCTCTGAGAATGTAGGTTTTGGGGCTTAGACAAGATTTTTCTCTAGGTTACTGGGCTAGAACACCATGTAGGTCCTCCGTGGTGGCCCCAGCTTAGTTCCCTTGCAAATGGTGAAAAGCTTCAGCCACACCCGGGACTGAGGTCTGACCTCAGCTCACTCAGGGGCAGAACTATAGCAGAGACAGGAGTAACTAGTCTGGGAAGGAGAGGAGGGGTCCCCAGTGGCTCAGTTCCCAAGACCTGAGGCAGCTGTGGTCATAGCACCAGCCTCTTTGGGTTTAGTTCCAGCCCACTTTAAGGTTGTTAAAATCCCCACATGCTGACAACCACCGTCGAGTGACTGTATGTCAGTTGGGGACATGGGGTTACCAAGAGACAAGAATCTAAGAATTTTTTTCTCCTCATCTCTCAATATCGTTAAGCCACCTAAAAATGTCCCTGCCTGCCAGTTCTGGGCAAATTCAATTTCAGGCAGAAGGCACATGCAGAGGATACAGAAACGTATTCAGACACCTGTTTCCTCCTCCCTAGCCCCCTATTTCTCTAAGAAGCTGGGACATCCTGGGACAGGCAAACTAATGCTAGACTTAGGGTCATGGACACCACAGAACTTGAAATCCAAAGATCTGAGCTCAAGTCCTTGCTCCATGGCTGTGTAACTATGGGAAGGTTGCTTAACCTCAATGACCTTTATCTGTAAACCAAAATTAACCCCTGCCCTTGATTCAAAATACCAGGCTTCACCTCAAAATGGAGCTGTCTGTGGTTCTCTGATTCTCCAGACCAAGCTCCCAACTGCCCTCTGCTCTTCTCTTCTTGGATGTCCTCATACAGGTGCCATAAATCCACCCTGTCCAGAGCTAGGCATCATGTTTGCCTCTGTCCTGGCTTTTTCACCTGCTTTCTCTATGTTTGGGGTGACAGTCACCCACAGTCACCCCAGATGCCTCCTTCTCTCTCACTGGCCTCCTCCAATTGCTCTCCAAGGGCTCTTGATTCCAACTGCTGGCTGTCTCTGGAAACCACTGCCTCCTTTCCCACTCCACTGTTGTGGCTGAAGCAAACCCTCCTTATTTCTCACCTGGAGAATTCCACCTGTTTCCAGGCAGGCCTCCAGTCTCTCCTCCAAACTGCAACCAAGGCAGTCTTGCCATTGATGCTTATAATCCTTCAATTGCTGCACACCAGCTTCAGGACAAAGTCCAACTCCTTAACATGACTTGAGGCCCACTGTGATCTGCTCTTGCTGACCCCTCTCTGGACCACCATCTTGAGAGCACACTTTGCTAGTGAAGTGCCAAGAACATGTGCCTGTCACCGGCTTCCTCTGTCTTAAACACTCCCCCTACTTGTCCGCCCAGGTTAACTCCTAACCAGCCTTGTAGACTCCACTCAAGCCTCACCTCCTCTGGGAAGCCTCTCTGGGCCTCCCCAGTTTGAGGGAGTGACCCTTCTTCCAGGTTCCCCCAAGACCCAGTGCTTCCTGCATTGGAGAGCTCATTGGCACTGTCCTGAATTGTCTGTGGCTCCCATTTAGACTCATGCTTGGTACATAGTAGGCACCCAATAGACATTTGTTCAGTGAATAAACACGGGAATGAAGGATTGGTTCCATTGACAGGCAGTGAGAAGAGCACAACCCTGAAAGGCAGAGCCAGGACTTCAGTCCCAGCAGAGCTAGCTCTGCTGTCAACTCCCCGGGAACTTTGGGCCAGCACTTGACCTGTGGGCCTGCCCAGTTCCTCTTTCCTTAAGTCTGCTAACCTCTCAGCAGGGAGGGTGCAGGTGTCTGCTGCCCT